GAGTGCGGGGCCCGGGCGGGGAGTGCCGGGTCCATTTCCGCGTGGCGTGGGGCTGGGGTGAGTGCCGTCAGGGCTCTTGGTGGGGAAGGACTGGCCCGGCCCTGGGCCTTCATGTGGGACCAGCAGCGCTGTCTCCGCCTTACCCCGAAGGGAGCGGCCGCTGCCGCTTCACAGCCCGGGGAGCGGAGGCCCCGGAGCGCAGGGGGCGCCTCACTCGGGTCTGAGCCTCGTTCTGCGCCTGGCGCGGAGGAGGTGCCCAAGAAACACCGACTACTCAGTGCAAGTTGAAGGACAATTTTTGAAGGAAAGTTGCAGGGCTAGCGAATAAAACATTTTTGAGAGGTTTAGTTGTAATTTTTATTGGACTGAATTTAAGTGAATGAAGATGTGCAGAAGCCTGTTGTCTGAAATCAGTACTTTAAAAATTCTCCTTAACTGTGTCTGTGTTCCCTGCACTACCTTTGAGTGAACAACAGTGTTTAAGGAAAGAAGTGTCTTCGAGAATCAGCAGCATCAGTTTTATCTATAATGTCGTTTATTTTTTGTTGAAATGCTTGTTCTTTCAGGAAATTGGAAAGGAAAGGAAAGAAAAGCCATGGTAATGCAGAATTTTCGGAATTGGGTGCTAAATGACGTGGTCACATGTTCTCAGTCCATTTGGAGGGCAGTGTTTTTGTTTACCATAAGTCAGCTGAATTCAGTGTTTTGTGATCGTAGTGAGGAACATGACAGGCCTGGTTTCCAGACGGAGACTCCAGTATTGAGCATATTTGTAACCATCCCGTTGCCATTCCTCCCGCCTCGGGCTGGCAGCAGTGGTCCTGGCTTGCCTCCAGGGGAACTGAGGCAGAGACTGTAGAAGACTGAGGACCGAGGAGCAGAACAGGGACTAAAGCTAGCCGTAGGTCACTGGGTGGCTGGTTCTCATTGTCGTCTCCTTAATTTTTGTTAGACTTGGAGGAGGCGAGTTCTTCCCCATGCTCAGTGAGGCTTAGTTAATTTATGTGTGTGTGTTTTTAAATTTGAGTGTTATTAAAACTGCAACTGTTTTATATAAGGTATTTGAGTATAGTGTTCTATCTACTAAAATTCACTTTGGGATCCATTAACAGATCGTTGAAAGTGTTATATAAATAGCACAAGAATTGTTAGACTAGTTTTTGCTGTTTCACTTGCATTTCACTTGTATGTTTCGGGATACATTTTTACAGTGTATGAGTTTTAAAAAATTGTCTTCATGAGTTGTATATACACAGATATTACAGTAATATTTATTGTGACATTGAACTAAAATTCACCCGATGTGAGATATAAGATAGAGATGTAACAAATTGTTGTTTTGAGATGTAGATTTATTACATAGAATTATAATGATATTAGATACCAGTTTAAGACTGTTGAAATAACAGGGCAGTTACCACTTTTTTTTTTTTTTTTTTTTTTGATATGCAGCAACAGTATCAAAGTGCTCTATTTTGGGCAGATAAAGTAGCTTCACTCTCTCATGGTAAGTGACAATGCTAATTGTTTTTCTGATTAATCTTAAATTTTTTTCTATTTCACCTTGTACCTCTGACCACTTATGTGAATTTTTCCCTCCAGAGGAACCCCAGGACATCTATTGGCTGGCTCAGTGTCTTTACCTGACAGCACAGTATCACAGAGCCGCCCACGCACTCCGGTCACGGAAACTGGACAAAGTAGGTAATGGTATGAACTTCAAAGCTCTTCAGAGCTTTAAAAAAATGTCATTAGTGGTCGAGCGCGGTGGCTCACACCTGTAATCCCAGCACAATATCACAGAGCCGCCCATGCACTCCGGTCACGGAAACTGGACAAAGTAAGTAATGGCATGAACTGTAAAGCTCTTCAGAGCTTGAAAAAAATGTCATTAGTGGTCAAGCGCGGTGGCTCACACCTGTAATCCCAGCACTTTGGAAAGCCAAGGCGGGTGGATCGCGAGGTCAGGAGTTCAAAACCAAGATGGTGAAACCCCGTCTCCGCTAAAAATACAAAAATTAGCTGGACATGGTGGCAGTCACCTGTAATCCCAGCTACTCGGGAGGCTGAGGCAGAGAATTACTTAAACCTTGGAGGTGGAGGTTGCAGTGAGCTGAGGTCACACATTGCACTCCAGCCTGGACAACAGAGCGAGACTCCGTCTCAAAAAAAAAAAGTCCTTAGTGTTTTAGGTGTATATTCCATTATGTTGAAGTTATTTAAATTTATGCAATTTTTCTTTGTTTTTGTTTTTGGTTTTTTGAGGTCTCTGTGTCACCCAGGAGTGCAGTGGGATGATCGTGGCTCACTGTAGCCTCAGACTCCTGGGTTCGAGTGATCCTTCTGCCTCAGCCTCCCTAGTAGCTGGGACTACAGGTGCATGCCACCACACCCAGCTAATTTTAAAATTTTTTTGGTAGAGATGGGGCCTCACTATGTTGCCCAGGCTAGTCTTGAACTCCTGGTCTCAAGCAGTCCTCCTGCCTTGGTCTCCCAAAGTGCTGGGATTATAGATGTGAGTCATCACAGTAGGCCCAATTTTTTTTACCGAATGTGAAGGGAAAATGTCTTACATCTCATCTGTCACCTTCTTTTTCCCCATCTCCCGTCTAGTCTAAATTCTGAAGACTGTTTTCTAAACAGCTGTGAAATCATGGATATTCCTTTTCCTCCCCACTCATACGTGTCAGGCCTTTGATTCTTTGTCTGTTCTGTTACAGCCTCTCTTCTTGTCTCTTTTCCACCGTAACAGTTTTTCTCTGCTCACCTTCCCTGTGTCCAGTTCATCTTGTGAACTGTTACAGGGGTGAGTAGTCTTCCTAAAACACAGATGTGATTATATTCCCACAAGGTCATTCAATGACTTCCCATTACCTACAGGATAAAGTCAGATGCATCAGTAGGTCTGTGAGGCCCTCCATGATTTCTCTCCAGTCTGCGTCTGATCCACCACCATCAATACCTGGAGCACGTGCTCCAGTCACGTGGGGCTGCTGTGAGCTCCTTGGACACCCAGCAGTTATTCACACTCAGTGCCTGAAGTGCTGCCCAGCGCTCCACTCCTCTGACCACTTACTCGCTGCCTCACTTGCTCTCCTGCAGATGTTTCCTTCTCCACCTGGCTGGTGCTTTCTGTGACCCCCTTTCGTCATGCTTACCTGTTGTGCTTAGTTCATGTCTTCCCTACCGTAACCTCCTGGGGCAGGGCCTTTTTGAATCCTTGGTGCCTAGTAAACAGTAGGTTCATAATAAATATGGTTTAACAAGACTGGAATTTTATTTTTTTAACTGCAAGAGTAAAACGAGAAATTATGAAATTAGCTCTATTTTATGCTTATGGCTTGCTTTGAAAGTGAAAATACGTATTATTTTGACCACTATTTAAACAAATCAATTTCTTTCCTAGTTGTATGAAGCATGTCGTTACCTTGCAGCTAGGTGCCATGTAAGTATGCTCACAATTTCATTTTTATTTGGTTGAATGAAATGAGTGTTATGCATCCCTTATATATGTGTGAGAATTTTAGTGATGTAGCTTAGCAGGTTAGTAAAGTATTTCATGAGGAAGTGTTCTTTTCCTTACTATTGTTTGCTGTAAAATACTGATTCTTCATTTACTAAAAGCTGACATGCAGGAAGAAAATTCTACTTTAGACATTTTATATTTAAGTAATGGATATAATATATATTATCCTTTAAAAATCTGGATCATATGTTTAGTGTTAGAAATTGTGGGTGATGAGTGGCATTTCTGTTTTCCCCATAGTATGCTGCAAAAGAGCACCAGCAGGCCCTCGATATTCTTGATATGGAAGAGCCAATCAACAAAAGATTATTTGAAAAATACTTGAAGGATGAAAGTGGCTTCAAAGATCCCTCCAGTGACTGGGAAATGTCACAGTCTTCAGTAAGTAGTACTGTTAGCACACCTCAGTAACGGCAGCGAGAATTGCCCCCATTACGTGGTAGAAATACATTATCTTCTTTTACCGGAGTGTTACTATATTAAAACAATTGTGGTTGCCAATTTATTTAATTTGCCCACCAAAACCAAAAAAGATTCTGAGACATTTCTGAGCCCTCAGTTGGAAGCTGTAATTGTATCTGCAGATGCCTGCATCCAAAATAGGCTGGCTTGAAATCTTCCTTCTCCGATGTCTTAAGCTACTCCCTAAAAGTGGAATAATTTTTCTCCTTCTTTCTGTGTTTCAACAGTGTTTTGGACCCACACCAGGAAACTTCGATTAGCTTACATTGTTTCTTTCCAGGAAATGGTTTTGTGTTCCTGTTTGCTGCAAAGTACATTGCTATGTAATTTTGTGTATTTCAGTTTGTATACTTCATATCTCCATGAAATTGCACATTCCTTGCTGGCAGAAATTGTATAATAACTTATTAAGTGACACTTATAGATCACTAATCTGGATTTTAAAAAAATAAAATAAAAACTTATTGAGGTTTAATTCATATGCCATGCAGTCCACCCATTTAAACTGTATGGTTTGATTCCTTTTAGTATATTCACAGAGCTTTGCAAACCTCACCATGGTCAATTTTAGAATATTTTTATTATTCAGAAAGAATCCCTGTAAGCCTTACCTGACCTACCTACCAGTTTATCTTTTTTCCCACATCTTTTTTTTTTTCCCTTAATTAAGACGGGGTCTTTGCTTTGTTGCCCAGGCTGGAGTGCAGTGGCACAGTCACAACTCACTGCGGCCTCAACCTCCCAAGCTCAAGTGATTCTCCCACATCAGCCTTCCGAGTAGCTGGGACTACAAGCACATGCAACCACAGTCAGCTAATTTTTTAAAAAATGTTTTGTAGAGACAGGGTCTCACTGTGTTGCCCAGGCTGGTCTCAAACTCCTGGGCTCAGGTGATCCTCCTGCCTTAGTTTCCCAAAGTGTTGGGATTACAGGCATGAGCCACCGCACCTGGCCCATTTATTCTTTATATTTTTGGTAGAACTTTATTCGTCTACTTTTCACCTTAGATAGTTATTTTTAAGCATAAAAGAATATTACGCATTCTAGGTTTTTTTTTTTTGTCTGTTTTTTTTCTGGCCACTCATTAATTTATGTGTTGGGAAGCACATTCTTCTGCTAAGAAATGCATTTATGAGAGTGTCTGGTACAGTCATTATTTTAGGACCTCTTATCCATTAACTTACCTGCCACGAAATGTGTGATTTATTTGTAATGATTGTTACCGATTTTGTGAAATTATATTTTTAAAAAAAGCAAGTCCTAGGATATTGCTTATCTTGAAGACTCTCATAATTCATTATTTTTTCTAAAATTTTACTTTACGAATCTTCTTCATATCCTTAATGATTTTAGCTGCCTGTTGCTGGATCATCTTTCAATTCAGTTATGTGTTTGAGGTCCAGAGTCTAGAATGTGCATCAGATTTCCATATCTTCTTGTTTATGGTAGTCGTGAGATGGCCATTGAACACCTTACCGTGTGCTAGCACCACAGAGAGGGTAGCATCTCTAGACCTCAGAGTTCTATAAGTTAGTGTTTTTACCCTTTTACAGATGAGGAAAGGAAATGGAGGCCAAGAGAGGTTCAATCACTTGTCCAAGGTTACAAGTGGCAGAGCTGGGGTTTGAACTCGGGTCTGTCCTGCCCCAGCAGGCCATTATGCTGACTGCTCTGACCACTGTGCTGCATTGCTGCCAGTTTCTGCTCGTGAAGATCCTTTTGAGGGGTGTCTACCTATCACACTGTCAATCTTGGAGTTTTATACACATGCGTACACACTCTGTTTGCCATCTCTAAATCATTGCACTGTTTTGGACAAAACAGGTAATGAACCTAGTAGCTGTGACATGGACTTTTGTTATAAAGATGTGTTGGAACAGAGCGGTTAGAGCCCAGGGAAGGTGAATTGAAGAAACTTTGCTGTTTTTTTTGTGTGTGTATATGTGTGTGTGTTTAAATCCCTTTAAATGCAATAAAAACTTCTCAGTATTCTAAGACACAATTCTCTATCAAAAATTAAGTTTAAGGGCCAGGCATGGTGACTCATGCCTGTAATCTCAGCACTTCGGGAGGCCAAAGTGGGAGGATCACTTGAGGCCAGGAGTTTGAGAGCAGCCTAGGCAACACAGCAAGATTGTCTGTACAAAAAATTTTAGGAATTAGCTGTTCATGGTGGTGTTCACCTGTAATCCTAGCTACTCAGGAGGCTGAGGTAGGAGGGTCACTTGAGATCAGAGGAGTTCAAGGCTGCAGTGAGCTATGATCGCACCCCTGAACTCCAGCCTGGGAGACAGAGTGAGACTCTGCCTCTAAGGAAAAAAAAAAAAGTTAAGTTTAAAAATACTGACTTAATATGCGACTCATTATTTTTCCAACAGATAAAGAGTTCTATTTGTCTTCTACGTGGGAAAATCTATGATGCTCTAGATAACCGAACTCTGGCTACCTATAGCTACAAAGAAGCTTTGAAGCTTGATGTCTACTGTTTTGAAGCATTTGATCTTCTAACATCACACCACATGTTGACAGCACAAGAAGGTTTGGAAACTCAGGTGTTTTATGTTTAGCAAAATTAATATTGTTTGGATTTTTTGCCTCTGAAATCTTCTAAGTCAACAGCAGGCCACGTACGGGTTTAAATAGACCTACTGACTTTCTTAGTCTTCAAATGTAAAGCACATTGCAGAATGCAGTATTGTACGGTGCCTTGTGCTGTCCGAATCCAGGGATTGTAATAGGAAGAGACCATCTTTTTGAGAAGTGATTGAGATAGTATAAACCAGGATTTCAGTATCTCATTCAGTGATTCTCAACCGTGTTGCTCTTTAAATCCTTGGGAAAATTGAGAAACGTCCATGTCCAGTTCCCAACTCCAGAGCAGTTGAGTGGGAGTCTCGGGGTGAGATCCTATCAGATGGTTTAAAGCTCCCAGGTGATCCTGATGTACCACAGGCACTGAGAATCACAGTCCCAAGTATGTTGGCAGTAATGTGAGGTGGGTAAAGAAGGGAAACAGAAAATAGAGTGGTTGAATTAATGGGATTCTAGCGTATTTTAGCCTAGTGCAGGGGTTCTCAGCCAACCAGGGTGATTTTGCCACCCCCTCAACCCCCCGGGAACATTTGGCAATGTCTGGAGACATTGTTTGTCACAGCTGAGGGTCAGGGAGGGAGGCTGAGAGGTTGCTGCTGCTATCTAGCGGCTGGCGGCCAGAGGTCCTGCTTAGCACCTGCAGTGCACGGGCTCCCCCGTCCCCAGCAGAGCAAGATCCCCGCAGCGTCAGGAGTGCAGAGACTGGTGGTTCTTAGGTGACAGGAGCCACCTGGGACCTGGCCTCAGCCCTAGAAAAGTGACCTCCACCTACCAGATGATTCCCATCTTCAGGCCTGGAACTGCTGTGTCAGCTTCTGTAGCACATTTTGATCTTATGTTCTCTTTTGAGTTTGATTTACTTAGACCAAGAACTATAGAATAATATTTTTAGTTGTTGGCTTTTTTCCCTCTATAAATATTATGAGGATATTCTTTTTTTTCTTACCATTTTTAAGAAAAAGAACTTCTTGAATCACTACCTCTTAGCAAGCTGGGTAATGAAGAACAGGAATTGCTGCGTTTTCTATTTGAGAACAAATTGAAAAAAGTAAGTAAAACCAAAGAGTTAGCATTTGCTTTATGTAAATATCGTATTCCATTAAATTTGGCATCTAGTCTTGTATTAAATTTTCGAAATTAAAACTTTTTAAATTTAGCACATTTTCAAGAATAGAGCATTTAAAATACATAAGATTCCAAAAAAAACACTTCCAAAAATACCTGTCTTCCTCTGAAAGACTCCTTATACTAAAAGATTGAATTGCCAAGTAAATGGAATGGTGTTGCATGAAAATGAAGATTTTTTTTGTTATGCTTCCTAAATGTTTACTTTGAGAAATACATCCCACTATGGAATTCTGTGATAAAATTGAGAAGGGAGTGAAACTTACTGAGAGGAGTACTTATAAAACCTAAAGTTGTAAGTTTTCAGAGGCTCACATTTGTTCTTGTAAATGTTTTAACCACTTGGGTCAAACACAAATTGAATCGCATTTTATTTTGTTTTTGCTCATTGCGTTTATGTTTACGTTTCTCTGTGTTTCAGTATAATAAGCCTAGTGAAACGGTCATCCCTGAGTCTGTAAATGGCTTGCGAGAGAATCTGGATGTGGCAGTGTCTTTAGCTGAGAGACATTATTATAACTGTGATTTTAAAATGTGCTACAAACTTACTTCGGTGTGAGTATATCCATCAGTTTTTCTGTAGGAACATGGAGTTCACTCCATCTTACCTAAGTGATTCATGGACGTGCTCTCTGAATCATCCTGAACTAGATGATAATTTAAGTTACCTTTACCGTTTGTAGAGCGCAGAACGGGGTGCTGTCTTAAAAGAGCAGTTTGCAGACATGAGTTTATGCATATTTGTAGATTTATGACATTAACTTGGGAGGGATATACACGTCGCTCTTACTGATCTTGATAATTTGCAAGTTTGAAAATACCATTTTGGCACATTGTTTTGTAAAATTCATTCTCAGTTAGAGACTGACGCTGTGGATGCTGGGTGTTCAATATGCTGCACTCGGTAGCTAAGCCATCTCCCACACGCATCAGTTTTCCAGTGTGCATAATTTAAACTTTAGCTAAATGACATATACTGTTTTTTGTAGATCTTGGTTGGGTTTTAAATCCTTGAAATTACAAAAATTTTAATTGACAAAACACGTAACCTATTTATTAGGTTGGTGCAAAAGTAATTGCAGGTTTTGCCGTTGGACGTAATGGTAAAACTGCAATTATTTTTGCACCAACCTAATGGTATTTCCTATTGGTTTTGATTCTTTTAAATAATCGGCCTACTTATTTTATAAATTATAATTCTGTTGACTTAAAGTAAATGTTTGTGATAATGTTTATTTTTATTCCTTTCAAACAAACCAGAATTTTTTCTTTAATTTGTCACTTAATTGTGGCCTTAACTGAATCAACCTGAAGATAATGGAGTGAAGAAAGTGCAGTGTTATAACCCCCAGCGTCATACGTGATGCTGTGATGACTGCACATAGCTGATCCTCATGAGTGCCGTCACCTCCTGTTTTGGGGGTAGTAATGTGTTGCTTTTTAACTTTCAGAGTAATGGAGAAAGATCCTTTCCATGCAAGTTGTTTACCTGTACATATAGGGACGCTTGTAGAGCTGAATAAAGCCAATGGTAAGATTTTTTATAAATTAAAGTAATTCTTAGACATAAAACAATTTTTTTCTGTAACTTGAAATTTTATCTCTGAAATTCTGGATAGTTGAGATTGCAGGTAACATAATGGAACCCTACTATAAGAGTAACAACTGGGGAGGAAATGTTTAGGAAAGTAGCAAATGGCCAATTTTGTTTTCCCATCAGAACAATTAGTTCTTTATCGCTGTTTCCTACTACCTTTTCTCAGATACCATTTATGTTTCAAGGTTTGTTAACTTTAAATTGTTTGGTGTCAGTTCTGCCATTTTTTTCCTTTTTGTTTTGTAAATTCCATTGGAAATCTGATATGGTAAGAGTCGATAACTACTTAGAAATTGGAGGGGAGCAGATTGTTTGCTCGTGTTTTCCGTATTTTTAACATTTGACATTTAGCTGTGTTTGGGGATGCATTTGTCCTTGAATTTTTCTACACCGAATGGTGAGCTCTGTCAGGAAGGAAAACCCTCACCGAATCCCTGCTGCTCAGAGTGTGGTCTGTGGAAGCTGGTTGGAAATGCAGCATCTCCAGCTGCCCTGGTCTGCTGAATCCAAGTCTGCATGTAGGAAGCGTCATCTCGAAATGCCAGGATTTACACATTTCTCAAGATTACATAGTATCACTGATCTGATGAAAGTTTGTTCAACCAAATTGGTTGTGGGTGGTTATGATGGTCCATAATAGGCCCTTGGTGTGACAGGCATGAGCTTCTGAGAGAGGTGAGGTGCTTTGCTGTATCCTCTGCAGTATTCAGGAAGTGGTTTCTTAGGGGCTGTCTGTTCCCACCTTGCGCACCATGTGTCCTTCATCTAACTCTCCAGTTAGTCAATTTTGTATCTAGAAGGAAAGACAAGTATGAAATTCTTACTTTGCTGTAAGAAGAGAATTCTGTGACTGTGAAGAGTTGTAATGAAGTCATGTCTTAAATCACATGTGATATGAACAATTGTTCTTTTTCTGCTTTTTCCTGAACAGAACTTTTCTATCTTTCTCATAAACTGGTGGATTTATATCCTAGTAATCCTGTAAGTAATACAACTTTTAGTCGTAGTTTTTTTTTTTACCTGAACTTTAAGAAAATGCTTAACTTGTATTTAGACAATAGCTTAAGTTCAAGCAAGTGCTGTTTTATTAAAGTGTTGCAGCAGAATCTCCTAGTGTTTAGCGTACTTACAAAGCAGCATTAACTTTTCCACCCATGAAGGTATATTTTAATTATAACAAAGCAAAAAGGGTTTTTAACCCTCTTTTCTGATTATAGAAATTATACATGCTTATTTTAAAATACTTAGTATCTAACAATATAAAATACTGACCATGACAGTCACGCATCCCTTTCCTAGGAAATGCTGATAATTGTTTGGTAGCTTTCTCACATTGCACGTATAAGACAACTTATTGAATTGTGTACTGATTCCAAACTGTCGTGGATTGGAATGGAGAACTAGGAATGGAAAATGGAATCAGGGACTGCATTTTTAAAGACAAAATTGGGAATCAGGGTGTAAGACTCAGTTAAGACAAGAATTTGCACCCTATCCCATTGTGAAACCAGTGCAAGAGAAAACCAGCTAAATAGTCAGAACGTGGTCAGAGAGCAAGGAAGAGCCAGGGTCAAGCTGGGGGAGATGAGCAGTGCAGGGGGTCAGGACGCTGGGGGAGATGAGCAGTGCAGGGAGTCAGGACACTGGGATAGATGAGCAGTGCAGGGGAGTCAGGACGCTTGGGGGAGATGAGCAGTGCAGGGGGTCAGGACGCTGGAGGAGATGAGTAGTGCAGGGGGTCAGGACGCTGGAGGAGATGAGCAGTGCAGGGGAGTCAGGAC